TTATTTATTTTATCCTTACCAGCACACTCTCCATTCCAAGTAAGGCCTTCCCAAAGTTGCCCATTTTGACCACCAGCCGCGCTGACTAGCAGCCGACCAAGGCGCGTCCTGTTCACCGCCCTGATGCCATAACAAGCCCGTGCACAGCACGTGCAAACATTCACCAACGTACACTTACCAACCGGGCACTTGACTGCGATGAATATTAAAAGCACGAACTGGCGAAAAAATACCTGTCACCTTGTTCTGGTGACAAGCTAGAAGAGCAAGCACCCAAAACGCCTATAGGGAACAAACGGTCAAGACGTACGAGTCTATTCTCTGGTAAGAAAGAAAGCTAGCTCGGGTTTTATTAACTTTTTCGTCTGTGAAAGTTAGCACAACGACAGGAAAACGTATTCATGTTGTGAGTTACATGCAGGATTTATTGGCGGTAACTATTTACTAAAACTCTGAATATCATTTCACGCTCCTTTTAGTATTGCGCTACTGTATGTTAAAAAGACGTCGATGAATTTTTAAATAAATGAATATTTTATACGCGTATATTCTTACTTTTCCAAGAAGTGGCACGTATCAGGAACCTTTAATTTATTCGCTTACGGCAGTCGGCAAAAAATCGACAAAACAAAAACAAGGCTTTCATCGATCTAATATTTAACGTTTCATTCACCTACTACAGGTACCTGGAAAGGCGACGCCAAATAAAACTAAATAACGACGAACGATTTGTTAAATGCACCTCAATTCGAACGTAGCCGGGGGCAGCGCGTAGCGTACAATTAACATCTCGGCAATCGAGTTGTGTTCGACGTCGATATGCATTTCTGAACACCAGGCCCTCAGCGTCCTTCTGTACCCGCCGGATCTAGCGAACGCCAGACCCGTTTTGTCGCCCCAAAACAGCCTGTTGTCTTCGCACGTGGACGACCCGGCTGCTTATTGATTCTCCCTTAGAAACGGACCTATAGCATTTCCCGTAACCTGTTCAAGAGCGTTAAACAGTGCCGAGGCGGCAGCAAACAGAAGCAAATGGTCGAGCGGCAAAGAGTCGCCGTCGAGACTGAGCGGACCAAAAAAGAGCGCGCGGGTCTTCCAGGAAGGCCATTACGCTTATGAAGTGACTGTATGCCGGCACTGGAAACCATTTCGAGCCCGGTAATTCAGATGTGAATATGCCTTTGTGCAAAAGGAGCGGCAACTCCCTTTTCCGGTCGATTTCCAATCTTCGGATTGCTGACGCCAAACTGCGTCATTTTCTCGCGCGGCTAGGTGTCCCGAACAAAGCCCCTTAATTGCGCCAGGAACAAGGGAGAGGGTACGGCTGTTTTTGCACCTGGACAGGAATAAACCTCGTCGCCGCAGGGTTCTGTGTGCTGCTGTTTGGCTTCCACCGAGTTGGTTCCGATGTCCCTCTGTCGAAGGATTCCAACTTCCGACTATAGTAAAGCTGCTGTTCAACGGATCACCACCCCTCATACCATTCACGCTCTTCAGTAAAGCCACCTACCACTTTGTACAATCAAAAACTAACTTTAATATAAAACGAAGAACGAAAAAAAAATTATCATGTGTCGGAATACGAGAAATCAATCCGCCGGAACGTTTATTCTTAAAGGGATTGTCGAGTGGCATCCTGAAGTTACAAAGTTTTTGCGCTGGTCACGCAGAGAGGGCCTAATTTATAATCATATGGGTTATTTATTTCATTAAAAGACTCCCCAATATTCGTGAAATCAATAATGGACATCAATACGTATATTTTCACCCCGAATTTCGCAAGTATGCATGGCTGGTCGTGTCGTGATGTCACATAAGGCAAGGTAACGTCAAAGTCGCGGGCGTTGACTTATTCCCGGTTTTGATCAAGATATGTTGATGGTGCGTACAAAGATCATCGTCGAAGGATTGAGCTTCTCTCAATACCCTAAATCATGTCTTTCTTACATCGAGTTATTTTACGTAGACAGCATTCAAGAGCTGAGGTTGCTCTGGTTGCCTGATGTTACGCTGTGTATTTTGCAGGTGCAATCTAAGCAGTTGGGCTCTGTTGAAAACTGAATTACTTGTGCGGCACAGGATTAAAAATTCGGATACTATGCGGATGATATTCCTAAAAGCAATGAAAATATAATATAATTTTCTGAAGGAATAGTTTTACCGGATAATTTATTTAATGATTGAAACATATTACATAAACTGAAAACGACTCGGTGCAAGTGTAGTCTTGAATTCAAATAGGTGAAACTATGTTCGTTTTTTTTTTTTTTCAAAAGAAGCGTTTCAAATAACTCCGTGAGTAAAATTACTATATTCGTATTCTTCTCAAGAACGATATACTAAATTAAGTCCGGATTCTCGCTGAGAAATCTGATGTACTCCTTTATGGGATGAATTAAAACATATGTTGGTGAATTTGAGACTAGCTTGCCGTTATTTCATCAGAACGTACATCTTTTAATCGCCAAAAGTATAGTTCCTTCCTTCAACAAAACAAATGTTACAAGAACTAGTTCGTGCAGTCACTGCAGTGCATGAATAATGCGCAAAACTTACTTTTTTCTTGATGTGACGAGCAAAGTGTCGAACCGAAATGTTTATCAGTTCGGTTCGGGTTCAGGTTCACGGCTTTCGGTTCAATTCCGGTCCAGCTCCGGGGAGCAAAAATAACGGTTGAAACCGGGTTGAACCGGTTTTTTCGTAGCCGCTTATTCTAATTCGTAATTAGAATAAGCGGCCACGGGAACTAACGCTAATTATTATATACGTCAGTGTTCATCATCGTCATACGCTGAGGTTGGCAAAGCAAAGAGCATGGGCTGAACTTTAGACATTGTTAGAGTTCGGCTATTCTGATCGTTAATTGAACACGACCCATTACGCGAATGTTTGGCGAAGCTGATTGGTATGAGCCCGAGCACTCGACTCGGGCTCATGACAATCGAGCACATTAGGGTGAAACACGACTTGCGGTGCGAAGTCGTGACGTCATGTGACGCCTCGGTATCAATAACGCTAATAAATCTAATGGCGTTCTAAATTTAAATCGATTTGACGCAGTGAGTCACGCGATTACGTCACATGACGTCACGTTGCCACGTGACGCGACGTTGCTTGCATAAGAGCATGTCTTGACACTATGGTGCGTGGCGCGCGTCTCCAACAGGTGTTTTTAGCGTCCCATCCCGCCCATACATCGAAAGTGGTCCCAAAGTGTCAACCAATGACGTCACAGAAGCCGCGTTGTTCTGCTATCGGATGTCGCGATCCTGGCGGTTGGTCGTAGAAATGCTTGCAAAAAGCACCAGCGAACGCCAGTGTTGCTGTCATCGCGGCGTCCCAACTTTTGGCTGCCGAAGCTACCGTAAACTGCCACATTGGAAAGCTACCTGCAGCAGTAAAAGCGTCTGCCACATCAACAACCGCTGCTGGGACAGCGCTAGGATCGCGACCGGCGACAGCGTGACACTTCGATGACGTCATCAGGCAAAAATTGGGAGAATACTTTTTTGGGGCGTGGTAAACATTGGAGACGCGTTCCAGGCACCATACTTGACACCATGCACGTCTCATGCACGACCAAGTGACACATGATTAATCATAGTGTCAATACAAAAGCGCCACGAGAGCCCACATTTTGTCACATATTGCAATTCTATATATGACGATTTGATCAATATATAGAAACACAGATGCCAATATTTTATTTTTAAATTTTCGTTTTGTGATACTAACAAAATAGAAAAAAATAATACCGTGAACCGGTTTGAACCGGTTATTGTTATTTTTTTTTTTCCGGTTCAGCTCCAAGATGGCGGCGAAGATTTCGGTTCGGTTCAGTTCCAGTTATACTAAAAATAACGGTTGGGTTCCAGTTTTCGGTTTGGTTCGATTCCGGTTCGACACTCTGGTGACGACTATAGACATCTATGCCCAAAAGAGAAGAATCATGTGGGTACAAATCACGTTAGCTCAAATACATTTTTTTTTCTCTTTTGAACAGCATCAAGAAAGTTCGATTTACTTAAACCTTGCTTCCAGAAATTGACGCTAACAATATGGTATAAATACTATGTGGAAACGTTAATCAATGGAGTGAAAGTGGGTCAATTCACATGGTTGAAATCGGTCTTGTACGTAACGCGTTACAGGTAATGCGTTACTTGTACCTTTTTATGTTTCTCGGTAACGAAGTAACGACCTAGATACTTGTGAAAAGAAGGAACGAGTAACATATTTTTCTCAATTTTTGATGGCGTAACGAGTTATTTCGTCATTTCTGGAGAGGAAAGTGTACAACACAGCCTCTAACGTACTTCTCACACCAGCTCGCGCCTGTAATTTACGCGACGAGAAAGCACTAGATAGAACATAAAAAGACATTCATAATGTATGTCAGTATAGCCAGAGTCATCCCCGAACGAACGCGTTAATGACCAACAAAAAAATCATTAACGCCGACAAACGTATACATTGGGAGCGGACACTGCTTCATAAAGACACATTCTGAGTAACGAGAAAAGAACGCGTTACTTTCAAGCTGAGGTAACGAGCTCCTTTGGAGTCGCACTAACGAGTAACGCGCCTATTTACTTTTTGGGTAACGAGTAACGGAATTTCGTTACAGTATTTGACTAACGTGCAAATATCTGGATGAAATAACTGAACGGCCGCTCTCTAAAAAGCTATAATTGCTTGAACATATCTATGTATTCTTTTGTATGATTCAATTTTGTCTTCGATGAGCGAGAATTTAAAAGGAGATGATGGCCCTCCTATGTTATATAATACCTGCATGCACCCGCCTTCTTTTGATCTGGATGAGGATCATACTGGCGGGCGGTTGTGCATCACTACTGCGTGATGCACGTTAACGACCCCAGACTAGAGCACTGCACGGGCTCGGGCTTACCCAAAAGCCCGGGCCCATAGTCCCTGGTAATTCTGCATAATAAGTAAAAATAATAATTTTAAGTTTGCGGTTCCGGAAGAAATACTGATTACTTGTAGAAAGCTGCCTGTGCCAAATTCGGTGTGAAAACATTCATCTGGCTGACATAGGCCAATGTTGGCCAGCCTAAGCCAACCGATTGCCAACGGAGCTAAGAATAACGCATGTAATTTATTTAGGCTGGTTGAATTGCGACCCAATAAAAAAGAAAATAACAAAATATGGTATATATAAATTGATCGGCCTATATAGACCTAAGCAATAAACGACAACTGCGACCTCGATTTTTATTTTATACCCAAGACCCCAGACAGCACACATCGTCGGAACAACATTGGTATTTAATTGGCAAACAATGGTCCAATGTTGGGCCAAGCTGGTCATCGTACTGCCAATGTTGGTGCTAGGCTGGTATATACTGGCCAGCCTCAGCCAATCGATTGCCAACGTTAATAAGCCTTTGGCCACAACAGGCCAACGTTGGCCAGTATATGCCAGTCTAGCACCAATATTTACAGTACCATGACCAGCTTGGTCCAACATTGGACCACTGTTTGCCAGTTAAACACCGATATCGGTCCGACGTCGTGTGCTGTCTGGGGTCTTGGGTATAAAATAAAATTCGAGGTCGCAGTTGTCCTTTATTGCTTAGGTCTATATAGGCCGATCAGTTCGTTTATACCATATTTTGTTATTTTCTTCTTTACTGGGTCGCAATTCAACCAGCCTAAATAAATTGCATGCGTTATTCTTAGCTCCGTCAGGTATACTTACATGAGAGAAAAATAGTCGCGTACTAGCAATTTCCCTCCAACGGTCGCGTTATGTGCATGAAATTACATTGCCCAATGCTTCCGTACTTCACACGGCGAAGTTTAGATAACATGACATTGAATTCGGGCCCAGACCAGGCCTAGGCCTGTTTTAAAAGGGGGCGGAGCGGACCGGGCAGAGTAATATAGAAATTGCTCGGACTCGGGCCGGACGTGGGCCCAGTTTCAAACAAACACCTGGGCCGGGCTCGGGCGGGTAAATTACCATCACGCCCGGCTTTCACCGAGCGTGGGCTCAAAAAAACGGTCCGTGTAGTGCTCTACCGCGGACCCTAACAGTCGTACTGTACTGGCTAATTTTCTCGGCTTCGGCATGTAACAATGTCGGCATGCACTGGTTGATGAAGATCACACCATCTATACATGTAACGATTAGTTTTCTTTCTTTATAATGTAGCCGGCTTCTTCATTGGCATTATTACTCTTCCTTAAAGGGACCCGGAGTGAAGTTCGGGCTGGGACAAATGACTTTAAATTATGATTTTTCTTATCACATATCGTTTAGTGAGTAAAAAAAAACAGTACATGTGGGTAGAAAGCCAAAAACCTGATTTTCTGTACGAAAATTTGAACATGTGGTGGTCTATTTTTTACCCCTTTCCTTCGAAAGCACCCCGCCGTTTCACTGTGATTCATCCGGGGGGATCGGTAGCCGAGTGGGCTAGAGCTCACCAGCTCGGAGCACGTGGAGCGACAGCTCGCGCTGAAGAGCCCTGGGGTCCTGGGTTCAATCCCCACCTCGCCCGTTTCGATCTTGATAAGCATCGTGCCGGCGTGCGGACACGTATCACTACTGCGAGGTGCACGTTAAAGACCCCAGGCTAGCGGTTGTACTGCACTGGCTAAGTTTCTCATCTACAGCTGAGAGACAAGTCGCCCGTTGAGGCAGATTGAGTTCTAAGTTGTGTCACGGCCACTCGATTCCCCCTGTTGGTGCGGCCTGCCGATGTCTTTCGGAGAACAAAAGAGCGCGCGTGAGAGGAGAACTTCTCCCATTTTCCGTGGGGGCGCTGCACATTGGTGAGCGGTCTTGTGAGCTGAGAGCTATACTCTGTTTCACCCAGTGTACCGCAGGAAAGGCTGTAAGCGCGAGCCTCTTGCTCTGGGGCAGATCTCGGCGGCACAAGCTCTCGTGCAGTAAGGGCAGCTGTCAACGCAATCAGCTCGCGCTTCCAGCCTTCGCTGCGGTACAACATAAGGTGAAACGGAGTATAGAGAAGGCGCCCAACGCGCTCTCGCTCCGCTACCCAGATAAAATATCTGCCTGTCATTGGCTTCGCCGATACCGAGGCACTGCCGCGGTTGCAGAAGGCAGCAAAACTCGCTTCCCCCCCCCCCCCCCCCCCCCTCCTATGCACCGCTGTGCTCGGCGAAAGTATCGTAGTGTCACTCTGCGCTCGCGTGTGTGGTTTCTGTTGGCATTTTGGAAGCTACCGGAAATGTAAATGCGCGTTCTAGTTCTGAGTGCCAGACGGCGATGAAATGTGCCAACTTCACTCATGAAACAGGAAATCCTGCAGTTGATGAAGTACAATGAAGTCTCTTCCGAACTTGAGTTCGCACCGCTGACTTACATGGCTGGCTACTTGGCCTTCGTTTACGAACAAAAGGTGAAATGTTTTTATTTGTAGAAATTGTTGTAATTTCAAAGTAATTAGCTGAAACATTCAACCTAGCAAAGCAATAAGAATTTCTCAGTGAAAGCAAGGAAAGCTAATGTGTAGAACCCGCTAAACTTTGCAGGAGACGTGTCCTGAATGCAAGCGCAACTTAAGGGAAATGCATCACATGACGGAGCATATCAGTCCATGTTTAGACTTGACCAAGGAGGACTCAGCTATCCACGACCTGAAGCTGTCTGGCTGTGCAAGGTCGTCTGCACCTTTGTCGAGAGGGCTCTACAGTCGGCAGAGATTCGTGGTTGTGGAAGGATTTGCAAGGTCCTCTCGAGCGCTGTGCTTTCACACCTTATGGACTGCCCGCTGATGTGGTGTGTTAACTGCCGATAGCCCTACTACAGCGAAGAGCTCTGCGAGCTCTTTCTCAGAAAACTCCTCAGACCTTTTTTGGCAGACTGGGCTGGTGACCTAAACAGCCCACTAAAGAATATATTGAGGCTATCGCTGAAGCCTTCCCGAAACGTACTCCGCTTGTGAACTATATGACTCCCTTGGTCTGTTTTTTGTGAACAATGAAGTTTATATTGCTGAAGTTATGCATGCGGAATCCGATTTTATATTGTCCTTCACATATTAACAAACGCCACAGCTCACGCGTGCTCGAGCGTCGCTATATCCAACTATAACTCCTATATTACAGTGGTAATAGAAACGGGGCAACAGTTACGGGAACAAGAAAACGACAATTCGCTCATACTGCCAGCAGGATGGAGCTTTAACGCGCAGCCTGCAGCTGAGGGAGCTTTTCGCAGGAATCATGTGCTTTTATTCTACACAGATTTTTCACATCATTCCTGCAGTCTGGCACTCGTTTCAATTGAGACTTGCAGCTTCAAGGAAAAAAAAATCTAAATAGCCACACCGGGCCGGGCCGGGCGTACTGCTCCTCTCTGACTATATTTCGTCTTACCTTAGCATGGACTAACCGCGAACGCTGTGCTAGCGCGAGCGGCTAGCCTTTACTGCTTTGACTGGAGCACTCGCTGCACGAGCGCTCATGCAGCCGCCGAGGCTTCCTTCGAAGCAACTATCTCGCGCTTTTAGCACGCGCGGCTAACAAGTACATACTAACGTGAAACGAAATATAGAGTTCCTCGATAATGCTCCCCCGAAAGGAACTCTATCTCTCACTAGAGTGCCTTCATACACACGCGCGCTTTTGCTTGAGTGGTGACATCTCAGCCATTTTTCCGCCCAATCGTTTTTTTAGGCATTTTGAAGTGCGCGCAATCCGGTGTCACTCAGCTCGAGCGCGTAGCTTTGGCTTATGCATAGACGCCATCTTACCGCCCAAGTCACGCACCGAGTGCGCGAGAGCGTCACGCGCTGGCACATTCCGGACAACAATGAATGTCTTCACCCTGAGACAGACAGACATCTAGGCACCCTATCTCTCACAGATAACGAGCGCCACGGCTGGCGCTGCGGGGTAAAGTAGAACTATCGCTCTCACCGGCGGAGTGAGGCATACGGCAGGCCGCTCCCAAGGGGAGTCCTAATCGAGTGGCCGTGGTTGTGTAAACATACACACACCCCAATTTGTTTTTATTAATTCGCGGTGCCCAAGCGCGTCAGCCGATCCCAGCTCACACATTGGACAAAAGCACTGCGTCATTCGGACGTATGCGCTCGTCAACAATAAATCCGTTGACAAATATCTGGATTTGCGTTCGAAGCCATTGAGTGCCGCGACGGCACTTAATCATCACCTGGGAACGACAAGTTCCATGGTGTGGTTAAAAAGTGCGGTGAATGCTTGGAGTCATCGCATCCGGTGAAATACTACATCACGATCACGTGATTTCTCATTTCGCTTTTGATTTAAGAAAAGCTAAGAAGGAAGAAGTTGAAAAAATATTTCATGGCCTTTTCAATTTGATAGAAAAGCCTGCATACATGCGAATGCACCGCTTTACTTAGCAGTTAGCAAACCACTGCAAAGTAATATCAGCTGTTGGTTTCACAGTCGCATTGAGGGTGCAATAATGCGACGTTATAATTATACGTACCCATTCGTGCATGCTCGCATGTTGTAAGAGTATCAGTTATTCAACAACACGAATATGATTGCGACGAATGGGTAACTTTTGCGTAGGTTTCGCCAGATTTATTTCAGGCGCGTTTTTTACACGCGCACATGTCTGAAGTCGATGCTGAACTATTCATAAAGGTATTTCACTGACTTCCATTTTTCTCTAACGATAGGTGTTATGGGATCATCTCCCCACTCGAAACAATATAATTCTTATAATTGTAAATCGTCCAACGTCGACATCGCCCAGTGTTTAAACGAAGAAATCCTTGAAACCCTGCCGCGGACTTGCTCCCGCGTCCGCTGATTGTGAATTCAGCGCGCTGCCACAAATTCACGCCAGCCACTGCGCCTAATAAACCGCATGGATTGAGGAGAGCTACGCATATGAGTCTTGCGCAGCACCCGCTAGATGGCCGCAGTTGCGATGACGTCACACACGCCACTTGAGTGTCACGCCGAGTCCATTGGAGGATTTCTGTGTATATAAAATAAATGAGTGAGTCGCTCTCCGAGCAGAAATTAGCAAGTGTTCCTCACGTAAGGTGCAAAATACATAAGGGTACTACTTTAAGGTCCGATAAGTTGTCGCAGCTACCGCTGTGAC